TTTAAAATAAAAATGGTCTTTAAGAACAATTTTGTCCATACTATGAAAATGTTGTGGGCTAGGAATATAGTTCAGTGGCATAAGTGCCTGCTTGGCAAGTGCAACGTCCTGAGTTCAATCCCTCATACCTCAAAAAAAAACGTTATATACCCTGGGTTCCCATTATTTTGTGAACAGTCTATCATCAACTAAATAAAAAATTTATTAGTAATCAATTTTAAATTATCAATATGTAACATTATTTTCAGCACTGAAAAATTGATTTCTTTTTTTCTTTCAGGTTAATTCAAGGGCTCCCCTTCTTTCTAAGTCAATGGACCAAGTAAATGACTCTATGATAACTGAATTTGTGTTACTGGGACTTGCTCAGTCTTTGGAAATGCAGTTTTTCCTTTTCCTTTTTTTCTTTTTCTTTTACGTGGGAATTATTCTAGGAAACATCTTCATTGTGTTCACAGTGATTACTGATTCTCACTTACACTCTCCCCTGTATGTTCTTCTGGCCAACTTATCACTCATTGACTTGGGCCTTTCATCTAGCACAGTTCCTAGAATAATCTTCGATCTTTTCACTGAATATAAAGTCATTTCCTTCCACAATTGTATGATACAAATGTTCTTTATCCATGTTATGGGAGGGGTTGAAATGGTGTTACTCATAGCAATGGCATATGACAGGTATACAGCCATTTGTAAGCCTCTCCACTATCTGACTATTATGAATTATAAAACATGCATAATTTTGGTAATCAGTGCATGGGTCATTGGAGTGATTCATGCTGTGTCTCAGTTTGTCTTTGTCATAAAGTTGCCTTTCTGTGGCCCCAATAATGTAGAGAGTTTTTATTGTGATTTTCCTAGGGTTATTAAACTTGCATGCATGAACACTTATAGACTAGAATTTGTAGTCACTGCCAACAGTGGTTTTATATCTATGGGCACCTTCTTTTTCTTAATTGTGTCATACATTTTTATTCTGGCCACTGTCCGACAACATTCATCCAAAGATTTATCAAAAGCATTTTTCACTTTGTCAGCTCACATCACTGTAGTGGTTTTGTTCTTTGCTCCATGCATGTTTCTGTATGTGTGGCCTTTTCCTACTAAGTCACTGGATAAATTTTTTGCTATTGTGGACTTTGTTGTTACCCCTGTTTTAAATCCTGTCATCTATACTTTAAGGAATAAAGATATGAAGCTGGCAATGAGGAGGCTGAGTCTATGGGTTATAAATTCTAGGGAGGTTTCTTAGTAGATTTCACTGACAAACATATGGATGAATGAGTGTGTTGGACCATCAAGATCCTGCTATCACTGTAAACACTATGGAATGCATACTTTTTATACTTTAAAGGAAAAAACTAACAAAATAACCACAATGAAGACAAAAACAACAAAAATGGTATATGACCTCAAAACAAAATGATCAGAATTAGCAACAGTTGCTATATTACATCCTGTTATCTTCAGCACAGTTGCTCAGACCACCAGATGTAAGAATGTAAGATTAACCAAACAATCAAAGACAATAACAAGTAATAAAGAAAAACATTGGAATGCATACATTTTTATAAGAAATCTGGAGACAAATTCCATAAAAAAATATATATTAAATCAACAAATTTCCCTTCAAGTGGAGTTGCAATAACTTTTGTTAATCATAAAAAGTTATGCATTTGTGTCTAAACAGCACACCTAAATCACAATTACCAACAATGACTGCATTGAATTTTGATCTGTTATGTTATATTTTATATGCATTTCTATGATTTAAATTTATTGACATCATTATACTGATAATAGACATCACTGAAAATTGATAGATATGGCTTGTGGGTATTATCTCTATCCAATGAATGAAATGAGTTTATATAAACAAAAAGCATAGGAAGAAGTAATTCTTATTTGAAATTGTATTTTACTTTATGTTGGATAAGTAGAAAATTGATTCTATGCTATAGCTCAAATATTCTTTTCAATCTGCTTTTCAATTTGTTTTATACAGAGTCATTTTAGAAATACACTTTAGTTCTTTGCATGCAGTCAAATTTTGTCTGTTCCACCTTTTAAACAGCATAATTCTTGCAGTCTTCCACCGAACTCTTGCAGTCTTCCACAAAGAACTTTTAAATTAGTGTATATTTGCAATACATAATAATTACATTCATCTGGAAAATAGATACATATACATTGTATCTCTTGGTCAGTTTTATTCTACCTTCTTCCTTCTTTCTTTTTCCCCAACTCCCCTTCCTACATCCACAGGGTCTTTCTTTCTGTTTTCACCATCTCTCTTTTATTTTGCTTTAAAAATTATTTATATTATGCTTTTCAAATTAGAAAAACCATGATATGTTTAACCTTCCATGTCTATTTCATTTAGTATGATGGGCCCAAATCAATCCATTTTCCTACAGATGATCGATTTTTCCTTCTTTGTGGTTGAGTAGTACCTCATTGTGTAGATTTCTTTATCCATTCATCTGCTGATGGACATTAGGCTGCTTTCTTCTCAAAGAATTTCTTGATTCAATAAAAACATAACAACAATTCTGAAATCACAATATGAGATTTATTTACCAGATGAAAGAACCCCACTAAAATCTCAAAATTTATTTAAGGTGCCTGATCTTAAGCAAAGGTGATCAGTACAAGGCAAGTGATTGATACCTTTTACATAAAACTTGGAAATCCTGGTAATGAAGAAACATAAGTGAGATATTATTTATTTTAAAGATAAAAGAATGACAACATATTGACAAGCACACATAATTTACAAAATAACACATAAACAATATAAGAAATACAGAACTTCAGATAAGGTGATAAGAAATTAACAATGGTTGTTTCATTATATATTGATATCTTCAAATTGGTTACTCAGATAAACAAATACAGGCATATAAGATTTATCAAACAATCAAACTAAAAACATCATACCACAGTGATATATGTGCATCCATGTTTGTAGCAGCACAATTTGTAGTAGCTAAATCATTGAAGCAACCAAAATGCCAGTCCACTGAGGAATGGACAGAAATGTTGTGGTATTTTTATACAATGGAATATTACTCAGCTATAAAGAAAGATAAACTCAAAGCTTTTATAGGTAAATGGACACAACTATAATCCATACTCATAAGTGAAATAAATCAGACCAACATGTGTAAGCATCGTATTGTCTCACTAGTGTAAGAACCTGAAAACATTGAATAAAATCTAACAGATACAATAGACATTGTGAAAGGGAAAAAATGATCAAAAGGAAAAACAACTGTGATGAGAGAAAAGACAAAAGAAAGAAAAGGAAAAAATATGCTCATATATATACACACACAGAGAACAGCTAAGATACTTGTACTACTGACTTCTATTGCTTTATTGAGACATCATTGAGGTGTATTTTTAGTAGATTTAAGAAACATTAATTGTGTCTCAGCTCATATCTAAATACTACCTGGTGATTAAAGTTACAGAATAAAAAGGTAAGTGAGACTTTCTATTATTAGTCAAGGTAATATTCCTATGTTTTCTCCACATATTGATTATCAATATTCTATACTATTCTCTCTTTATAAAATCTAAGCATTATTATTTGCTGTTATATGCCTATTTAAAGTTTAGTTTTACAATTTGATCTTATTTGTTTTATCATGATTCTTTAAAAATCACCTTTAGACTCAGGTAGTAAAAATATTTAAATGGGTCAAGAAATTGCGGCACTGTTCTTTAACGCAAGATTTTGTTTCATTCTCTAATGACCAAGGGAAAACCTGTGAGAGTATTAGTTAGTTTCAGTACTCCAAGCTCAGAGTGATTATTTCCATCTCTTCACCTGCTTCTGATCACTTTTTTTTTTTTCTGATCACTTTCTTAATGAATTCTTAACTAATTTACTAAGGAGAAAAATTCCCAGGAATGCATTCTCTTGAAAATTTTCATACTTTGAGAGTACATATAAAAGGAAATCTGTACTACTCTTTCTCGGAAAACTGCTAGAGTCTCCTCCAGTTATGAAGGAGGTAGGTGTGATGATGAATATATTATAAACATATATGATAAATATATTAGTAGAACTAAGCAAATCTCAGCCTTTTATTGACAATGAGATGTTTTTGTTAGTTGCAATCTATTTTACAGAATTCATGTTTTTATCTTAGGAAAAATGGAATTCTGTAGGTAGTATAAATACTTAAAAGACTTGATATAAATATTTAAAAATATACCCTTGTTATTAGTGTTCTTTTGGAAACAATTGCTGAGTTCTTCTCCTAACATTTTCTGGCTAATCTACCCTTTCCTACTTTAGTAGCACTGCCCTTATTTTTTTTCCCCCAAATCTAGCATTTTCTAACCCACTTTCTAGGCTCCTTATTACAATATCAATAAAAGCTGGTTGGGGACATTTGTTTCATATAAAGGTGCAAATCGTTCTGTTTGGAGAGATTTTTTTACTAACAAATACATTTTCAGATGAAGGAAAACTAAGACCCCCAAATTTTGAATGACATGCCCAAGATCATGCAGTGAATTTATGCTAGAACTCAAGTTCCTGATTTCCATCAAAATGATACTTATAAAAATATACATTTGCCTTAAAGACAGGTAAAAGATATTTTAAGAAAAACATAAAATTGTAATGGTTCAATTCAAAACTTAATGTAGTGCCTGGTGAAGGATTTGCTTTTTCAGCTGTGGCTGGCTCTTCAGGATTTTTATAACCAATGTGTGAGATTCTGCAGAACTCCTCCAATTAGAATATACTTAATGTTAGAAACACACACTTTTAAAAACTTGTTGAACAACTTTTTAAGAGTTGTAAATGGGCTACAAAAAACTTATGGTGGTGAAGAGTAGCTGTAGCTGTAGCTGTAGCTGAAGATCCCATATTATCACTCTCTTCTTAGCGGCACAAATTTGAGATGTGATGTCATAAAGAGATGAGAAAGAAACATATTACGGAAGAATAGCATTCTGGAGTTCTTACTTGTTACTGTTAACAGAAAATCTTTTTTGCTACAGATGAAGACCTTTGAGTCAACTGCCATCATTGACCTGTTTTCCATACAGGTATAACCTCAAGCTTATCCTTGTTAGTGAAATGAAATGGCTTTACACAAGAAAATAATACATTCAATTACTAATTAAATGCTTTGATGACAAATATCCCAACCAATTAGTCACATTAAAAACGATCCCACAAAAGTGATCCTATATTCTGTATTAGCAATGATTATCATGATTGTATTTATTGTTACGTTAAGCACAAAAGAACCAAAGTAAGAGTTCATGATTTATTTCACCATTTAACTTTTCTTTGTTCTTGGAAAAATTTAGAGTCATTAAATTTGAGATGAATGTGAAGCAGTATGAATGCAATTAATGTTAATGGAATTAACACTGAGTGAATGGAATTAACAATAACAAAAAGTATGATTTTCAAAGGTAATGAAAAATTATAATTAAGTAAATATCCAAAAGAAATAGTAGTGTTCCTTTAAGAAATTTTTCAAGTATATCTCTTTATAGAGATACAATATATAAAGATATATTATTCACATATGTTATATATAAAATATATATTATATACATACTATATAGAGATATACAGTGGCATTACCCATCAATTTCCTCTTCTCTCTTACACTTTACTAGCCAGTTAACTTTTCCATCTTATATGACAAATATTCTTGTGGCCATGCTTCACATTCAAGATATCTTTCATTTGCTACTTTTATAGCACTGCAAACCTTGAAATAGTATGTTTTCTTTCCTAGATATACAATTGAAATGATTCTCTCAACTCGTGTCAAAAGCCACTGTTTAGTGTTTCACCTATTACCAGATAGCAACTTAAAAAAATGTTTCAGCAGTGCCTCTACATAGCTCATAATCATCGTTATCCTTTCAAATTTATTTGCACTCCTAAAATTGATCTGTATGTTAGGTAACAGTACATTAATACTCTTTATAGTTATGAGAATTGAAGCCATCATATTGTTCCCAATTATTCTGAATAAAAATGTTTGAATGATGTATTTATTCCTGTAGGTTGTTGGCCAAGTATCTATTATTTTTCCCTAATGAACACTAACTTATTGAGTACTTACTGTATGCTAAAAAAATTTATATATAAGACCAGATCCAATACTTTATACACTCCTATAAAGTAGTACCACTACCATCCATTTTGTCCAGATCTGATCATAAGACTGAAAGCATTGAAATGACTTGTCCAAAGTCATCCAGCTACATAGCAGATAATCCTAGAATTTGAAACTTGGCCTTCCAGCACACATACTCACATCATACCCAGTATAATATATTGCCTAGTGGGCACTCACAAATGCATTCTGACCCTGATCCGGTTCATATAACCACTACCTACATTTGCTACCTAGAGTGGGGCTTGAAATAATTACTTTTCATTATTTTCAATCCCACTCTCTTTAAATTCAGATTCAGATCAGCTTTAATTTATTAAGCAATTATTGCTAATTCCTCACTAGTTCATCACTATTTTCATAATAAAGAGTAAGTAGTAGCCATTCTAAAATTTCTTTCCAAATCTATCTCCCCTTAAACTGTTTCACACTTTCTGTCATGTAAACTTTATTGCATTTTTGTCATGTTTTTCTCACTCCACCTTTGTATTGCCCTTTCTTTTATCCTTTGTCACTTGTTAAATCTTATGTTTTTGATATTTTTGTCTAGTTTTTGTTTGTTTTATTTTTCATCTTTCATTTCATTTTAACATATCTTTTTCTCCTACGAATTTTAGTGTTGTCAAATAATATAAGATATATGTAACACAGTAAGAACTGTTTTTGAGCACGGCAGAAAAAGGAGATAAATATAGGATAGTAGCATAGATTTAATCTGACAAACAGTAGCATAAACAATAGTATTTTATTAGGAATAATCCTACAATGAGTGAAGACTCTGGGAAGACTTAAATAATTGAAATATAAGACATAACCAGGAACTAGTGTGGGATAAAGCTTTGAGTTAATTATAACAATTCTGACTTCTTCACTATTTTCTCCAAGGGCGTTGCAGAGGTCATCTCCTGGAATGAAACAACAAATGAAGCAAATTACTCTGTGATCACTGAGTTCATTTTTCTTGGACTCTCCAATTCTCAGGAACTCCAGATTTTCCTGTTTGTGTTCTTTGTTGTTTCCTATGTAGGAATTGTGTTTGGAAACCTTCTGATTGTGACAACTGTGGCTTCTGACTCCAACCTTCACTCCCCCATGTACTTCTTGCTGGCCAACCTCTCAGTCACTGATTTGTCTTTATCTTCAGTCACAGCCCACAAGATGCTTATTGACTTTTTCAATAAATGCAAAGCCATCTCTTTCAAGGGGTGCCTTGCACAAATATTTCTCCTTCACTTCTTTGGGGGCAGTGAGTTGCTGAGCCTCCTAGCCAGGGTGTTTGACAGATATGTAGCAACCTGTAACCCCTACAGTGTACTACAATTATGTGCAGCAATATATGTATTGGAATTGTGGCTGCTGCATGGGGAATTGGCTTCCTCCACTCAGTGTGCCAGTTGGCCTTTGCAGTGAACTTACCCTTTTGTGGTCACAATAAGGTTGATAGCTTCTGTTGTGACCTTCTTAGGGTAATCCAACTCACCTGTACAGGTAACTACAGGCTAGATATGGTCATTGCTAACAGTGGTGTACTCACAGTGTTCTTTCATCCTCCTAATCATCTCCTACACTATCATTCTAATGACTATCCAGCATCACCCATCAAATTGGTCATCCAAGGTTCTGTCCACTTTGACTGCTCACATCACAGTCATTCTTTTGTTTTTTGGACCATGTATCTTCATTCATGCCTGGCCATTCCCCATCAAATCATTAGATAAATTCCTTGCTGTATTTTATTCTGTGGTTACTCCTCTCTTGAACCCAATGATTTACACACTGAGAAACAAAGACATGAAGACTGCAATGAGCCAACTGAGAAAAATGATTGTGAATTTTAGGTTAAAGGTTTAGACTTTTTATAACTATAAAATTAATTTTACAAAATAATATATGGTAAATTTTGTAAATTCCTTAGTACAGCTTATGAAATCTGTAACCTTCTCCCCTCAAAAAAAACCTGTAACTTCACTTCCAACTTCATTAGTAATTGTCAAAGAAATTTCATATACACTGTCTCAATTTATCCTTCAATATCTTTGCATGTTATATCTTTGGATACAGCAAACTTAATAGTGTGCACTTATAATATTACCTCACTAATTTTCAGAACAATGAAGGGCATAAATGTGTTAGTATTTGTGCACAATGTGAGTCTACCAATGTAAAGTTTATCTTGTAGGCACTTGAGCGCCTAAGGTATATAACAGTTGCTTATAAGTAGTAAACAGAACTTCTCAATATGTTGGCACAAAGTGTATTACTTAGATTCTAGATGATTTTCTATGATTAACTTTATAAAGACAAAAACTGCATTTAACTCTATTCACCCTTTACTAACCATGACTTTCAATACATTAACCTCCATGATTTCAATAGTTAGTTTCTACACTTTTGAAAAGGAAATAATAATACTTATTACTTGTGGTTATTATCAGGAATAGTGAAACAGTAGATATGTATATCAATAACTTAATGTCATATTTATCATTCAATAAAAATTAGAAAATATTGTAATTGTTATAAATCCTATATATCAACAAAACTAAAAATTTTAACCCATATTTTTCCCAGCATGCTTGAGGGGCAAGACATATTCCAATCTCAATAGACACTCATTTTGGGTTCTGCAATTATAAGTTCAAGTCTGTATATTTATGTGCAAGTGTGTTTGTGTTATTTATATGTGTACACATGCACTCACACTCTGTCACTGTAAGAAGACATTATAAAACTCCCAATAAAAACACAGGGCGATATAAATTAAAACAAAAAATATTTCACAAGTCTTTCTGACAACTCCCTCCCCTTTCTAGTAAGAATCATTGAACCTGGTTGAAATTGAAGATTAAATATTTTAAGGTAAAAGGAATGTAGCTTGTCAAAGTTTGGCTTAAATTAACAGATAAAGAGAGTTAGATAGTAAAAGGTTGATGTTATATCTACTTCAGAAAAAATAGAATATATAAATAATAACTACATTGAAAACACATAAAATAATTCATATAATTATAATGACATCTCAAATCAGTGGAAGAAAGAAGGCCCTATTAATGTGAAGGTGGAATGACTGGACAGCAATCTAGGGAACGATGTAGCAGTTCTATTCATCATATCCCATACTGACACAATTTCTAAGTGAATTCAAAGCATAAATCTATTTTTCAAAAACCTATACAAATATTACAAGAAAATACAAGTAAATTTCTTTATTATCTAACGTGATAAATATTGATAAAATCAACTTCATAAAATTAATTTTAATGTGTGATAAAACTAAAGATAAATGAAGAAGAAATACTTACAACTTACATCACAATGACTAAGAGTTTTCCTGGGTATTTTTCTAGAAGATCTGAAAACATCATACCATAGGATATATGTACACCTGTGTTTGTAATAGCTCAATTTGTAATAGCTAAATCTTGGAAACAACCTAAATGCCCATCAACTGAGGAATGAATCGAAAAGATGTGGTATTTTTATGTAATGTAATATTACTCAGCTGTAAAGAAAGATAAACTAGAGACTTCTATAGATAAATGGATGCAACTACAACAATACTCATAAGTGAAATAAATCAGATTCACATGTGTAAACATCTTATTGCCTCCTTATTCTAAGAACTGGAAAGAGTAGATAAAATTTGAAGAGTATAATATATATTGTGAAAGGGAAAGAAGATGCGCAAGTGAGAAGCAACTGGGATGTAGGGGAGAGGGAAAAGAAGGAAGAGAAAAAAGTATGTATATATGTATACAAGTTAGCTAAGATAATTGTACTACTAATTTCTATTGGTTTAATAAGAGGAACAGTTGATGTGTGATTGTTTGATCAATCTTACATGCCTGTATCTGATTATCTGAGCAAACACTTTGAACATAACATTATGCAATAATAATCATTGTTAATTTCCTATCACCTTGTTTTGAAATTCTAAATCATTTTTATTATTTTTATGTTGTTTTGTTATGTTTTTGTATTATTTTTTGTTCTTTTCTCTTTAAAATATAAAAAGAAGAAGAAAAAAAACATATGTATATACCAGGATAGCTGGGATAGGTGTGTAGCTAATGTCTGTGGTTTATTGAAAGGAACAGTTAATGCTTAAAATGTTTTTTTTTCTTGACCAATTTTGTACACTTGTATCTGGTAGTCAGAGCGACTGATTTGAAGACAACAGGGGTTGGAGATTTAGCTCAGCGGCAAAGCACCTGCCTGGAAAGTGCAAGGTCGTGAGTTCAGTTCCCGGTACCAGAGAAAAAAAAAAAAAAAAAAAAAAAAAAATGAAGACAACACTATGAAATATAAAAACAATTGTTGAATTACTACTGTCTTGTATGGTGAAGCTCAATATCATTTCCAATTTTTTTATTATTTTTTATTGTCTTTGTATTATAAATCTTTCATTTTTATATCTGGTGGATTGAGTGACTTTATTGAAGACAACAGTATGTAGTGTAGCAACCACTGTTAATTCCTATCATTTTGTTTTGAGGTCATGTACCATTTTTGTGTTGTTTTGGTTTTGTCTTCACTGTTATTGTTGTTTTAGTTTTTTTCTCTTTAAAATAAAAAAGACTAAGAGTTTTAATATATTAAAAAGTTTTAAAATTCAGATAGACAAATGCACAAATTATATAAGCTTACTATTAATATACAAAAAATATATGAAAATATGAAAAATAATGATATACAAAAATATATGAATATATGAAAACTGTTCCACCTGTCTTATGTTAAGATATGTGCAAAGCAAAATTATACTTAAATATCCGTTTTGTCCTATAAGATATCAACTAACTAGTCTCCATATTTGATAATATACTCTGTAGATGGAGCAATAAAAAATAAGCATTATTACAAAAATATTCTTCTTCCTTGGAGGTCATTATAATGCCTATTAAATATTCTGAGATGATGAATATGAAGAATCAAGTATTCAGTCTACCTTTCATATATGACAATGTTGAAAATAAATAACCACATAGTTAATTAAGAAAATTATGAAAAATTCAAGTTAATAATTGCAATAGAAACTTGGTGCTTAATAAATTTACATTTTATAACAATTGAGTAATAGTTTCAAAATAAAATTTATAAGAAATACATAAGGTGACAAAACAAACTCACTAATCAATATTCATATCACATGAGAAAAATGTATAAAATACAAAACAAATTATAAATGAGTCTCTTTTAAAAAACTCTACTTAATGACAGGAAAATATGCAGGAAATGTATGGAAGGGAGAAATGTGCAAAAATAGCATGTAGATTTAATAACATCAAATACAAAGCACTAAATATTTAACAGGAAGAACAGTCTGAATTACTCAGTAAATTTATGGTTTTAAAAACAAGAATAAATTGGTGTAGATAAAGAACCAAAAAAAAGTATCAATCAGTGCAATGTTGAATCTTGTCTAGATCCTCATTCAAGTACCCTAATTTTAACAAATGCTTTTTTAAAAGATCCAGAAAATTTGAATAAAGACTAATATTTGATTGTATCAATTATATATAGGTATAAAAATGAAAGATGAAAGAGAGATGTGAAAATATCAGAAACATATTTTCTTTGGGCCAAGGAACCAAGATTGCAGAGAAAACAAAGCTTCTTCAGATGAACCCAACATTTTACATTCTGTTTTCGTCCACCGCGTATTTAACAATTATTGGTAGAGTTAAAAGGCTAAAAAGTCAGGCATAAGGAAGCTGCTAAAGGGTAGATAATACAATAGAGCTTCTGACAACCTTATCTCAGTGATAAGCTAATAATCAGATATTAGCGCTACGCAGGTAAGAAAGACATGATGGGCAGAGTCTTCTGATTAAAATTTTTAATTGTCCACTGAGTCTTTTAGTGTGTACAATGGTTTATCTAGAACTTCCTTAATTTCTCTCATCAGTGTTATGTAGTTTTTACTGCATGGTTTTCTTAAAGACAGACCTGAGCGTTTGTGACTCAAATATAAATGAAATTGATTAACTTCATTTCCAAGTGTTTGCTGCTAACACAGAGATACATATGATTTTATATTAACAGTATATTCTCTTGTCTTGTTAATTTTATGGATTATATCTAGTAGTTGCTTTGAAGAACTTTAGTATTTCTAAATAAAGACGTCATCTACAAATGGAAATGGTTCTACAAGTCTTTCTTTGCCTTACTATAATTCCACTTTTTTATTTTTGCTCTTGTTGCTTATGCTTTTGTTGTCACTATTAATAAACTTTCCTTTACTCTAACTAAACACCTGAAGTAAGTAATTTAAAAAGAGGAAATGTTTATTTTTGGCTCACAGTTTTGGAGCTTTCAGTCCATGATCCATTGGCGTTATGCCCTTGGAGCTGATAGCAAGGCAGCATATCATGGCAAATAACGCATGATAGAACAATCTGCTCACCTAATTTTGTCCAGAAAGTGGGAAAAAAAAGAAAGAAAAAAGGGCCAGGTCCCACTATTCCCTACAAAATATATTCATCTGCTTTTAATTTACTGAGACAAAAATACCTAACATCCACAATTTATAGGAGGAGAAGTTTATTTTGGCTTTGGTTTTCAGTGATTTTAGTCCATAATCAGCTGTCTCCAAGACAGAAAAATCAAGGAAACCTTCTCAACATGGTATCTGAGAAGCAGAGAGCAAGAGAAGAGCCTGAATGGAATGGACCAGGAACCAGATAAAATCCCCCGTCATGTCCCATGACCTACTTCCTCCAACTCATTCCAACCCCCCAATAACATTCACCTATTAATTCATCACTAGATTAACCATTTGGTGATGATCCAATCACCTCTTCAGGAATGTCTTAATCCATTCAGGATGAAGATCAAAATTAACTGGAAGA